TTTTTTTTTTTTTTTTTTTTTTTTTTAAATTTATTATTTGTTTGGAACTTGTCTTAACATATTTTACGTTAAGACAAGTTGCAAATAAAGGAACGTGAACTGACTAACTATAAATAACCGAATGGTTCAAGCTCCAGTTGATTCAATCTCTACTACTCTACTCTACTATCTATTTCAGTTTCGGCCAAACTGCTATATTTCTAATAGGACACCGTTCACTAGAAGAAGAACCTAGTGCTCTGTATCTCAGGAGTGGAGATGTTTTAGTTATGTCAAAGGAATCCCGACTCTGCTATCATGCCGTTCCGCGCATTTTGAAAGCTTTTGAAGATCCTTGGAACAATTTTTTTTCAAATCCTCGAGAAAAGTTTGGGGACACATTTACTACTTCAATGAATTTAACATTATTCGAACAAGTCAATGACGAATTATTTTGGAAGCCGTTTGACCGTTACGTCAGTGATTGTCGCATAAATATTAATATTCGTCAGGTCTACCATTCAGATTGTTAACATTATTATATAATATGTGCTTGTAGCTATTTTTTTTTTTTTTTTTTTTTTTTTGATCTAAAAATAAATAAAAATACTCATGTTACGAAATACCTCGTTTAAACATGCTATTATGGAATTAATGGATAACAGTTAATAAATTTTAAGTTGTATAGTTCTTATTTTTATTTATTTTGTTAATGTCTGTACGTTCGTTTTCGAAAACGATTATTATTTCCATTAAAAATTCGATTAAGAAACTGTTGGCGTGTATTCTTAACAGCTAAGTAAATAATAGCGTTGCCACTAATATTAGAATTTTCAGATCAACAGAAATGAATCGAAGTTAAAATGGGACATTTACGAGCATAACTGTAACACGAAATCAATGTTGTAACATCAAGGATTGTTCATCTGACTCTAACCGGTTAATTTTTGTTTCATCTGACCTATTAGCCGTATAAACAAAAATTTGGTTGGACCCTAGGCTTTAACCGATGTAATAATGCTTCAGGAGCAATATATGAGCATTCTATTGCACAATTGCGTAGAAGCACTAACCAGAAAACACATAGATTAGATATGTAGAACAAACTTTTCTACAGCAGAAAATGTTAAGTTGGTCGACCACTATACTTCGTATTTGCTCGGCTCGGTCGCTGAAGGTTCGAGCAGTGAAAATATTGCACCACAAAGTCAGTACGCTGCATGCGCTCAATTTTTATAGGAAAGCGCAGCTATGCGCTATTTGTCCTACTCTCTCTCGCTCAATCTATCTCCCTCTCTCTATGGTCTCTCAAATCACCGAACTCAGCAGCCCACAAAAATTGAAATTTGTTCGCGACGATCCCATGTCTATTCTTTTGAGTGAGGGATAAAAGCGTTTGTCAGGCTCATGCAAACAATATGTAGCGTTTCGATTGATATTCGTGGAAAGGGTATGAAAGCGTTGATACCCATAATGAAAATGGTTTCGCGACGAGCGTGCACACACACACTTGCAGTCTCTGGAAACATGTGTGAGCATTTGTGGCCTGTGCAAATTGTAAAACCGAAAATTGGTCGTTGGTCAGACTTAGGGACTGTCATATCCACTTCATACATATGTACATATATATTATTATACAAATTCATGTTTATAAATGCATAGATCGATAAAATACTGTAATTATATATAATTAATAATAGGTTACACACATTTTCAACCGAAGAGATGATCGTGGTATACTAATAAGTTTATTAAATGCTATCACTAACCACAGAACACATAGACCGGACAAGTAGTGTAAAGCGTTTTGCACACTTTTTTTCGA